TGGTAGAAAGAGAGGTCGGATCTCATCATGATGAAGTTATGGATTTACCCCGCCAATCTGACGATGTAACATTGGATTGAAACTCCCTAGAAAGTGTGGGTGGAAACGACGAGGGAAGTCCATACGACTCGTTGACTCGATGGAACTAACATGAAGGTAGAGGATTTTGATCACTGCCGTCGGTTGGTCCACCTCAATGGCTCGGACACTGTTTTTGACAGCGAAGCAATTTCGGCGATAAACGACATCTCTGATGATAACTGGACTTACCATGCCCCGATTGATAGCTGATACTGCGACCGTCATGGCGAAAATGAGTATCTCTGTGCCATGGAGCCTGAAGGTGTTTGGATGTCCAAATGGAACTTTCAAGATCCGGAAGCAGCAAGATCAAAGCTGGAAGAGCTGTATAGAGATGATCAACAGAATGGACCGGCATCGTGCCTCTTGGATGTTGAATGTGATATCCCAGACCTTCTGGACCATATTTCATCTGTGACAAAAAGGGGTATTTCTGATGAGTTAGTGGTTTACTTTGTGCACTGGAGGCGTCAATGGCTGCAGTCGGAGAATGTTGGTGAAGATGGATATAGGTCGCTGAAGCAATTCTGCCTTTAACCTTCGAGCTTGGATTCTCGGAAATTTCGTTTATGTTTTGTTTCCTCTTGTCTCCCCGAGGTGGCATGAAATGCATTTGTACTCTCAGGAACTGTATCTATTGACAACGCTGCTGGATAAAATGATGAATCACATGAACCACGCTCTCCGTCCGCTGCAAGTTTGATTTTTTCGCCAGGGATTTTGCGTTAACCCCTTTGGACAGTTCAGCAATCTATGAAAGTTAGCGACTTTTTAGATCCCATTTCTAAACGGATAGAGTGGAGGGAGTACTGTATGTTTTCTATCTCTTCGACGACCCACGATGTTGCTATTTTTGATTGGGAGGCAATGTTCGTGGTCGAGCTCAGTGGAATGATCGAGAACGCTTATGCTCCCTCTTTTTCCACCACACAGCGTGGGCAAACAGATCAGAAAAATGCTACTGACATCTGCCGGCGCCAAGAACCAATTTTCTTGCGACTGCTACATCGTAAGTTGAATTACTCCGATGGCTCCATCGAGCTTCGCCCATGTCTGGGCGAGGAACACCACGTCTAAGCCGACCGATCGGAGCAAGTTGCCCTCATCCGACTATTGGGAAGGCGATGCGTTGGGGGAGACGCTATATAAGCAGGAATACATTATCATGCCCCTTTCTCAGATGAAGATACTGAAGCTGGTGTTTAAGTGAGATGGGGATGAGATGTACCAGATAGGAGGAAGGATAGATATACAAGAAACACAGGGATATGGCACACAAGAAGAGCGGTGAAAGTACTCAGATTCTGCTGATAAGGCTCAGCACCTGCTCTGCAGAAAACATTTCTCACACCTTCCTCACTCTCACAGACAACCCAATCATCATTGATGAGTCAATGAGTCTCATCAACTTATCTTGTGGTTCTGATCAGTTTGTCGCCATTCCATCCCTTCAACAGAATATAGAGAAGGTTTCAGAAGGTTACAATGTGTATGCTAATATAATATTGAATGATTTGCAGAAGCATGAAAGCTTGAAACTACTGATAGTTTACTACTACTGAAATAATGAATGTCATTAAACAAGGTCATGTGAATTATATTCAGCACTTCTGCAGAGAGATGACTCAATCTTTTCACTTCTAGTTAGTTAGCTGCTTAAATTTGTTTTATACAATAGTCAGTAAAAATTCCTCAATTGAAGTCTTATAAACAGTCTTCTTAAAAATATATTTCTCTCTCATAGAGAGAGAAGACACTAACTGTTCTTATTTTTAATTCTTAAAAGCTTATACAGGTAGAGATTGAAAGAGACAAGTAATATCTTAAAACTAGAATAAAATTACAATCAATAATAATATTTCTACTGCTGATTAAAAATGAGAAGAAAACAGCTCTATCTAATACTAATAGCTCTTGAGAAGTTGAGAATATCAGTGATAAAACTACAATACTTTGAATAGTCATCATCAATAATAGAATGAATAGACTGGCTGCCAGAATCATGAATTTCATGTTTAATCTCATTTGGTCTGATTCTATACATTTCTTGGTGTGAATGCCGCTGGGACTAGTCATTAAAAAAACATGCAAAGTGACTATATATCAGATCTTAAAATGAAATCATGACTTGAAAAAAATGAGAAAGTGATCTCATTTGATTTCATTTAGTCTCATTCTTGATATAAAGTTACTATTTTTAGACATTCTAAGGTTTTTTTTAGACTATTTTTAATTTTTTAAAAAGTAATGCTTTTTGATAACACTTAAATAAGATTTAAAGTCATTTAAAGCAATAAAAATAATTTAAATTGAGAAGTGAAAATCATAATCTCATTTAAAAAATGTGATAAGAGTAGACAGTAAGTTTCACTGAGACAGTATAAGACTACTATCTAATGTTAAAACTGTGTAATGAGATCAGTTGAATTGATAATAAGACTATTAAAAAATCTGATCCTGGTCTCAGACACGGTTACACGGTCAGTCTAAGAATGAAGACATCTTATATAAAACTGATATTTACACAGTAGAAGAGTTCTTCACTCTGATGAAATACTATAGCAGATTTCATATTCAAATTAATACTTTAACTTCTGAAGTTTAGTCTTAAGCTTGATTATCTCTGCATGCAGATACTATACTTCTTCTTTCAGCTTTCTTCTCTTTACACACTCAGTCTTAAAAATAGTATGAATTTCCTGGTTCACTCTTTTCTATCTTAATATCAGTAAGAAAGAAGTCTCATCAAGGTTCATAAAGAAGAGTCTTACTAAAATCATATTAAAATTAAATATTTTTTTATTTTTTCAGTGACTGCTTCATTTCAGACTTCAGAGAATCAGAGATTATCAAATCATCAGATTCATTATAGATTGAATAACTATAGTCTGTGTATAATCTCTTTCTTTATAATCTTTATATTCTTTATATCAGAGCCTGTTCATCTATTTCATCTGAAATAATAATCACAGTATGAAAATTATCAGCTTCTGTCATAGCTGAGAGATCAAGAGATAACTATGTCACAGATCAGTAAAGTGAAATGATAAAGAGCTTTAGAGAGAATAAGTTCTATTGTATTCACTCAGTTATGATTGAATATACAAGAGCTTTGTGATGAGTTTTAGTTAACAGTATAGAATGAGAGATGAAAAAGAAATTGAAAGAGAAATGAATCTGAGAGAGAAAGAAGTTCATATATATACTCAGAGTGAGAAAAGTAATCTTGAGAGTTCAGACAGTGCAGTCTTATCTACTGAGAGTTTTTATTAATATTAATACTCTCTTTAAAACTGTATCTGTTCAAGAATTAATCTGAGAGCTGAAGTTTAATCAGGTCAGAGACACAGTAGCAGAAGAAGATTAATAAAAGATCAGAAACTACATCATATAATTACTAGTACAATGATTAAAAAAAGAAGTACTATAATCAGTGTTTAAGAATATGTACAGTAGATTCACTAATCTAGATTGCTATGTTAAAGGCAGAAGTCAATAGATCTGACAGGTTCATGAAACACAGTTCATAAACTCATAGATCTAAAGACAGTCAACTTGTAGTCATACTGATCTGTGAACAGTAGAGGCTATTGAATCAATTTCTGAGATTCTGTGATAATCAAGAATTCACAGTCAAAGAGCCTCAGTATTATGTATAATACTTAATCTTTCTCTCTTGTTTTTATTCACTGTCAGTATTCTGTGACATAGATACTATCATCTCTTCATCAATATTCAGCTCTCTGTTAAACATTATTAAGACAGTGTTAGTTTTATCTTCAATAATCATATCTAAGCATTGTGTAGAAGTGATTAGTTTTAAATTCTTATTATAGAAAGTTATCTATCAGTTCTAAGTATTCTTCTTAATTATTCATTCTATCATGAATTAGTGAGAAGATATGAACAGATTAATAATCATCTTATCAGTATTAACTCATTTCTCTTTCTTATAAGTTTTAAAAATAATTGTGACTATTCTAGTACTGATTGACACATTCTCAAGTCTGAATACATCTTGAAGACTTAAATCTGACTGTAAGACTTGAAGTCTGTTATTCATTTTCAAAAATTATTCAGTAGTAGCTTTTCTTATAATCTTCTGTGAAAAAATATTTCTCTCTGAAGATTTTAAAATGACTTCAGATTTCTGCAGCTTGCTCTGCTATATTTAAGAGACTGATTCTTTTAATTATATCAATTCAGTGATGCATTTAACAGCTTTTCAACTCTTAACTTCTGAAGTGAGATCTGTGACATTCATTGCTCACTCAGTGCTTACAGAGTCAATAATGCTGTGAGTGCCCTCATTCTTACTGAATATGAAGAGTGTAAAGTTGAGCTGTATGACAGGCTGTGAGGTGTACATCTTCTCTGCAGCTGTTGACACAGCTGCTCTGTCTTCTTTCTCTGATTGCAGCTGTACTAGCCTCACTGTCTCTCTTACAAGCTGCTCTTGATCTGCTTGCAGCAACAGCTCTTTCTTCTGCTTCTTATTGAAAATGCACTTCTTCAGCTGTGTGCTCAATAGCTGCTCTTTTCTCAGTCTTCTTTTGAATCTGTTGCTGTTCAGCTCTCTTAACAGTATGTCTTTTCTCTTCTTCATACTGAATTTGCTCTTATTTAACTTGCTCAGCTGCAGCTTCTTCTGCATCTCACTGAAGCTGTTCTTGTTCTGCAGCATATCATTCGGCAGTCGCTCTTGCCTCTTCCTCCTGCTGAAGCTGTTCCTGTCGAAGATGTTCCTGTTCTGCAGCATATTGTTCGGCGGCCGCTCTTGCATCCTCCTCTAGCTGCTGAAGCTGTTCCTGTCGAAGCTGTTCCTGTCGAAGCTGTTCCTGTCGAAGCTGTTCTTGTTCTGCAGCATATCTTTCAGCGGCCGCTCTTGCCTCCTCCTCTTCCTGCCTCAGTTGTTCTTGTCAAAGCTGTTCCTGTTCCGCGGCATATCGTTCGGCGGCTGCTCTTGCCTCCTCCTCCTGTTGAAGCTGTTCCTGTTCCGCGGCATATCGTTCGGCGGCTGCTCTTGCCTCCTCCTCCTGCCGAAGCTGTTCCTGTCGAAGCTGTTCCTGTCGAAGCTGTTCCTGTTCTAAGGCATATCGTTCAGCGGCCAATTTTTCCTCCTCCTGCTGGCGAAGCTGTTCTAGTTCCACAGCATATTGTCTTGCCTCCTCCTCCTGTTGAAGCTGTTCCTGTTCCGCGGCATATTGTTCGGCGGCTGCTCTTGCCTCCTCCTCCTGCCGAAGCTGTTCCTGTTCCGCGGCATATTGTTCGGCGGCTGCTCTTGCCTCCTCCTCCTGCCGAAGCTGTTCCTGTTCCGCGGCATATTGTTCGGCGGCTGCTCTTGCCTCCTCCTTCTGCCGAAGCTGTTCCTGTCGAAGCTGTTCTTGTTCTGCGGCATATCGTTCAGCGGCCGCTTTGCCTCCTCCTCTTCCTGCCGTTCTTGTTCCGCAGCATAACGCTCAGTGACTTCTCTGCGGACTCCGGTTTCTTCGGCAGTCGCCCTCTCTGCCGAATCTAACTGCATAGGGTCTAGCTCACCGTGGTTAACAGTGGTACAACCATCATTTTCCTGCAAAGGAAGCTGTCTGAATCCTGCAAGTGAACTGTCATCAGCCATGAAAAGCAGTGACATTGACAAATTAAGTAGATCACTTGCTGAAGTGACAGCTCCAACCCATGTATGTTGAGAGGGTGAAGATGTCAGTGACTTGCCAAAAAAGGCAAAATAGATGCATTGTCTCATGAACAATGTAGAGACCTTCTTATCTATCAGTATTTCATTGATATGCAGTTGATTAAGAAAGAGAAACTGATGATCTTGCTACTGCACTCTGGCATGCAGAAGCTCATATCAAGTATTTAACTTAGTCTCACTATCAGAGATGAAATTGTGAGACAGCTGATACTCAATGAGAATGATAAGAGAGAAGCATTCTGTGATGCAGTTAATAAGAGTCTCAAATATTTCACTGTTGTATTGAAACCACTTCAGATTTCATACTTTCAGAAGAACAGCCTGTGTGATCTGATAGTTGAGAAATAGCTCAATGAGATCTGTGATTAGACTGACCGTGTGACCGTGTCTGAGACCAGGACCAGATTTTTTGATAGTTTCATTACCAATTCAACTGATCCCATTACATGGTTTTAACATTAGATAGTAGTCTCATACTGTCTCAGTGAGACTTACTGTCTACTCTTGTCACATTTTCCAAATGAGACCATGATTTCCACTTCTCAATTTAAATTATTTTTATTGCTTTAAATGACTTTAAATCTCATTTGAGTGTTATCAAAAAGTGTTACTTTTTAAAAAATTAAAAATAGTCTAAAAAAAACCTTAAAATGTCTAAAAATAGTAACTTTATGCCAAGAATGAGACTAAATGGGACCAAATGGGACCACTTTCTCATTTTTTTCAAGTCATGGTTTCATTTTAAGATCTGATATATAGTCACTTTACATGTTTTTTTGATAGCCAGTCCCAGCGGGATTCACACCAAGAAATGTATGAGATCAGACCAAATGAGATCAAACATGAAATTCATGATTCCAGCGGCCAGTCTATCTGTGATTCACATAGAGTTAAAATCAAGATTTTGTGCAAGAACAGCTATCTCATGAAGCACTGTCTCATCAGTCTTTTCAGAATTGAATCTTATTATAAGATTATCACTCTCTGACTCTCTGAGTATTTTCAGATAATAATGCATAGCATACAGTCAAAGCTATCAGTACTTAAGCTCTGCATATTGAGCTGAAGAGTCTGAACATCACTAGTCAGTCTCTGATATCTGAATCATACAATTTCTGACCATAGAATCAGAAGGTTTAAGACTGTCTTACACAGTACTTCAGAGTGTGAGATGAAGTGTGCTGAGAATAATCAGTCACTTTACACAGTTAATATATATCTGGAGATAATAGATGTTCTGAAAGAAGATATGAAGAGATAGAATAATTTCTCTTTTTTCTTGTAATTTATTTCAGATAGCAGCATAGTCAGAGTTGTTAAAATTGATAAACATCTTATCATCTAGTACAACACTCTGCACAGTCTTCACATTCTTGTGAGAAATCTCAGAGATTATAAGCTGCAGAATCTTCACTGTATAAAGATCAATTTTCATCATCTTATCATGATTATTATTTATAAGAGAGAATCAGAATTGCTTCACATGTGTCAGATAGATAATGATTTTCTGCATAAATTAGCATCAGAAGACTATGAAAGTTGACAGAGAAGAACAGACTTAATCACAGTTCAGTGTCAGTAATTGATGAAGAAAGCTGAGATTCATTTCATTTCACAGTCTGAAGATTATCAGCAATGCATTGAACACAGTATGAATATTAATATAAGTAGATGAAGAGAGTTGCTGAAGCTGCTTGAGTTTGTTACTCAATAGCTGAGACTTTCATTATTTCTCAAAGCAGGTATTTGCCCTGTATTGATATTGACAGACTTTCTGATATACTTTGTCATCACTTGATGATTTTTCATTGAAATATTCATTAATAAAAGACACTTGAAGGCCAGAGCTGATATCTGTGTGTAGAGCACGTCAGAGAGAGATGTAAGACAAGAATGAGTGTAAATAATATTATTCAGATAAAGATCAACAGTTCATCACTGATCACTGAGTGATAGTAGTTTCTTATCAGTCTTCAGACAATGTTGACTGTGAAGACATTATATCTGTCTAATAGAGAACTGAAGCTGAGAATATCAATCAGAAGAATTAGTCATCAGTGTATAAGCTGTTACATGTACTATATGAAGAGTATTTGCAAGATGTTACTGAGAGACAACAGTGATAATATAATACTGAATATTCAGTTATCAATAGTTATTCTTGTTAAAGATTTCACACAATTGCTTCATATTCTTTTGATCAAGCTTGCAGAATAGAGACAGATAGAAGACAATTTAACTCAGATTGATTTTAACAGTTTCTTAATATTTTGTACTTCACTCTGTTATAAGTTGTAGTTCTGTATCAGTGAACATAAATCACTTCATAATTAAATTAGATATAATAGTCTGAAAGAAAATTTCTGAAGTCTTAGAAGATAGAAGAATCTATGTGCTATTACATACTTCAGTAACATACTTATACTCTGAGTCACTTCTGTAGAAGACACTAGAAAAAGTGTGACCTGTTTCATTATCAGAGAGCATTTCAAGCTCTTTACACACTATAAATACTGAGTTATATCTCTTGTTGTATTTATTAACTTAGATCTCTCAAGTTCTATTTAATATTATATTTACTAGTCTATTCCTGTTTTATCTAGAAATGATATGTTAACAGAATCAGATAAGCATGCCATCATACTTGATTTTAAAGTGCTGAAAATTCAGTATTCTTCTTCTTCAGAGTCTACTTTATCAGCAGGTCAGTCTAATGAGCTTTATCAATCACAGTGTAATCTTCAATTAAAAAGTATAAGTAAGAGAAAAGCTTCTCCGGCTCAGAAGTGTACTAGAAAGCTTATAAAGAGTACTCAAAGAAGTCTCAGTCTTTCTCAGACTATTAAGTCTGAAGTTCAGTTACTAATTGTCTGAAATGAATCTCTGTGAAACATGTTTCTGAAGATGTTCAACTACAAGCTTGCTAACACTGTCACTATTACTGTTCACTGTACTTGTCTGTTCTGAGTTATAGTCATTTGAGAATATTCTATGAAAGATGCAGAGAGAATGTTACAGAGATTTCAGTAAGTGTAACATTAAAACATCATCTTCATCAGAAAGTACTACAGTGATAAAGAAGCTATGTATACTCTGATTGACAATCTTTCTCTCACTCTCATGCAACTGATTGACTGTCATGCTTATCTTAGTAAGAGTTAGCTGACTTTAATCATTGAACAGATAAGTCTTCTGCAGATCAGCTGCTGCTGAAATGTTACTGATAATTAGAAGATTCTCAATGATCTGTTCTATTTAATTACAGCTGACTTCAAGCATAAATCTCTGACATGTTTTAATATTCTACTAGGTCTGAATAAGTCTGTCAAAATCAGTATAAACATGTGTATGCACTTTAACAACTTCTGAGAACTACTGCTGATGATACTTTACAGCTGGCTTAGAGTTCTGTGTGAAACATCTGCTCAATCAGACTTAAATCAAATTTATCAAAGTATTGATAATTATTATCATGAAGCTCATGCAAAAATATAATAAAAATAACAGATTAATCAGAGTTGATAATTTAAATCACTGATCTGTTGATTCAGCCTTCTTTGAATTTCTCTCAGTAACCTTCTCAGCTATGTTTATTAAGATATTAAAAGAGATAAGTTAAGTCTAACTCATATTATCTTTCTCAGATTTTTAACTGTTACTTACTTCTTTCTAACACCTGCTTATATCTAAACAGCAGTTATTATCAGATATGCTGATTAATCTTACTTATCTTACTCTGATTTCTGTATATATCTACTCTTACAGATTGTAATTATTTCAATTGTTAAATTCTGCTCATTTAGCATTTTCAATATATTTCACTGAATTTTCATCAGATATAGTTATTTTAATTTATATAATAAAACAGAAGAATTATACTGTATTATCACTCTTTATTATTCATGGCATAATTAGTTAGTTTTCATTTAAGCTTATCTAATCATCTCATAGAAGTAATATATTTCATCACAAACTCATACATATTATAATCTCACTTACTAAGTTATGTGATATAAAACTCTATCTAATAATCACTTGTAATTAACTTACTTAGTGTAAGAGGCCTATACTGAATAGATCAGTATGATATTTATAGATCTTATATAACAAAGTGAAAAACATTAAAGAAGGAAAGAAAAGAGAAAGTGTGAGAATCAGCAATCAGAGTGAATATTTATACACATATATAATGATATACACAGTGAAGCTTTGAAGTGAAAGAATAGAAATTTCATGAGTTTTTTCAGCTGAGAATCAGTGATTGAGAATGACTGAGAATCAGAGCTTTCAGTGAAATCTATGAAGTGTAATGAAATAGTCTATATAATTGATCAGACGTAGCCCGTCACATTAACTCTCTCTTTTCAGAAGTGATATAGAGTTATAAGCATGTAGTTTCTATCAGTCAAGAGCTGCTGTCTTAAATAACACAGAGCTCAGAGTTCAGGTCAGATGATTATAACTGACTCATTTTACAAAATATTGTCAGCTGCAGCTGTGAGATCTCTTATCAAGAATATCTTTAATCTCTTATTCAAGTTCATTATCTTCTTCTATGATCCCTGGCAGCTGTCAGTTAAAAGTCAGTTGAGAAGAGAATGAATCAGTGACAGTACAGCAGAGCAAGCTTGTATAAAAGACATAATGAATCTCTGATAATATGTTAAGACAGTAGTTATAACTGTCTAGAACTTCTATCACTTTATACTTAATATAACAGTAATTCAGTGTATAAGATGAGTATATGATTTGTATATTCTTAAGATTTAATCATACTAGGTCTTCTATCTTATATTATTCAGCAGAATCTTAGTGAACATTGATTCAGTTCTCTTGATCTTATTTAATACTTGTTATGAAGATCTCTGCTCAGTTACAGGCATCTCAGAGCTTCATTACTATATTATCAGTGATCTGAATCAGACTGTGATTCAAAG